CCCACACCCACACTCCTTCATGAGAGATCCAAACATTAATGACATGAATCAAACGTGTCCAAATTATTTGAAAATAATGATGATAACTATATTATTAAGATATTATAAGAGTAAGTTGTTAGGACTGGTGTTGTACGCTATTCATTGATCGAAATTTAATACCATTTGTATTGAAGGTGAACGACTGCTCGACCGAAATCGAAAAGTAGATCATCCAACGTACGTAGCCTGTTTCCAGTGCGGAGAATCAATCGAAGGTCCATTTCGACAACAAAATAACCGCACATACCATCCACGATGTGTTAATGATTTTCATTTTCAGACACAAAGATCTCTTGAAGTAGGTTTCACACGTTTTATGAATTTATTTACGTGTTTTTATTGTTTAAGGGCCTACCCGATCATGCCAGAACAATACAAAATCAGGACAGGTATCTTAAACAAAAACGGGGGAAAGCGAAAAATGGTCGAACGAAAATTAGTCACAGAAAATTGGTCGATTCGAAAATTACATGATACGAAAATTGCGTGATACAAAAATTAACCGATACGAAAATTAGTCGAAAAGTGTACGACAATAAATTGAATTTATTCGATCAACAACAAATTGGCACAATTAAGCTGAAGCATGAATAAATAATGAAAAATCAATACCATTGTAAATGTACACAAAATAGTTTACAGCAAAAGAAAACGAGTAAGACAAAAAAACGAAGTCATGAATAAGATAGAAAAAAAAAGATTATAAATTATGAGCAAGTTCATCTAATTGTTGTAGAATAGATCGAAGTGGATATTTAATTAAATGACGTAGACGTATACTATAATTCAAATATTTTTTATTTGGCTCAATTCTTTGTCCAGCATTAAGTTTTACCAATTGACAGTGAATGAAATGTTCTTCAATTTTTATATTATTAATAAATATCCAAAGAGTAGGATGCTGACATTGAATAATTGAACTTAAACGACGGTGCCAAGCTTCAGCTCCATTGTTAGTACGCATTAAAAGGTCACTTGTTCTTTGATTCATGCTTCAGAATTCAATGTCAAACATTGGTTTTGGTCGTCCTTGCGTCCGCTTTCTTCCTACATATGTGTCTTCAAAATAATTTAATAACGGATGTAGTATTAGTGGTAATGAATTAAATAAATCGTCAAAACCTTGACCAACATCATCAGGAGGAAGAAAAGCAAGGGCGGCAATTTGATTAACATGATGAGCAAATATGGGATCTTGTTCATAATTTGTTTTGAAGCCTAATTCCTGCAAAAAAGACAGTTTTAATTTTTGATTTTTCTATATGGTTAAATTACTGACTTGAACTTTACGTTGAATGCTGTTTTTTAGGTGAAAAAAGCATCCAGACATCAAGGATGGATTTGTTGTTGTTGTAAATTTATCAGCAAACGCATTAATTGAGGCCTTTTCGAAATCCATCATTATATATTTTGGATTCCACAATGGACAAAGTTCTGATACTTTTTCAATAAGACGACGATACTTTTGTTCAGTTTTATTTGGTAGTAAGGCGAATATGACAGGTAAAACAGCATTTCTATAAACAACGTGCATTGCATATAATTGATAAAAGATTGATGGTGTAGCCTAAAAAGTTTAACTTATTAGTAATTGTCAATAACAACGAGAAGATGATATTCTAACCTTAAAGGTTCCATCGACTAATAGTTGTTCACAACTTTCAAGAAGTTGTAGTTGTTCAGGTGATGAAAATATTATAATTCAATCGTTGCCTGGACCAGAATCATATTGTAGAAATGCAGTATTTCTTTTTGTTGTTGTTAACTGAGCCGGAATTCGATCAAATGTTTTGTCATGAGTGATTTTTGGTAAATTATTTTGCCCACGTTGATTTTGAATATTCCGTTTAATATGTTTAAACTCAGGAAGACGAGCAACAGCATGGTCAGATAAATTAGTGAGACAATTATCAATAACAGCCGGTGTAGTTTCATTGGAATTGGTAGCTCTATCACGAACTTTTTCTTCAAATAATCTAATTTCAATTGAAAAGGCATTGCCATTATGATTATGATTGTCGTTTTCATATAAAAATGCTGTATTGATAGAATTAGTGTGAACTTTACCTTTGCATTTAAGTTTTCGAACATGTTCGCATTTCCAATAAGTTTTTTCGTCAGTTGTTTTATCAATAGTATAAGTAAATCCTTTAGAAAGTAATAAAGGTTTGTTCTTTTGGGTTTTGCTTAAAGTAAATGTTGACATTTTAGAATAATAATATAGATCAATCTAGTATAATGGCTCTTTTTATAACCTTTGAACAATCTTCTAACATAATCCAATAAAGATTATGCATAATCTAGCTTATATTAATAGATGTTAATTAGAATAAAAAAAGTATGTGTGGTTCTTTGACATAACTTTTAGTCTATTACAATTCCCATACATCAATGAAATATGAGCTTTTTTAGTTCGAAAATTGTTATCATTCTCTCTCCGCATGGTTTTATTTTTATCGTTGTTTAGCTTATCATTATCAGTACCAATAGAAAATTCACTTCAAAAATTATTTTTTTTAAATAAACTCTCGACTACTTTTCGTATCGATCAATTTTCGTATCGATCAAATTAGAACGATCAATTTTCGTTCCACCATTTTTCATTCGACCGATTTTCGTAGACCCCAAAAACGGATACTGATTGCTTCTAAGCCTCTACCTGTGCGAATAATTGTCTAGAAATACTCACCTACATGGCTCAATGAACCAGCAAAGAATAGTGAATTTTACCCACAGCACCATCACTCCAATCAATTTAGCTAGTACTGCAACGAGAAATGATCGAGAAACTCGTTTGAAATCTAGCCGTCCTATGCTGCAAAACTCAACTATACCATCACAAAATGCCATTGATGCTTTCTCCCGTAATGCAACTCCAGGAACAACCCGCCAAAACTGGGGTATTATGACAACTCTAGGCTCCATTGATCAGTATCGAATCGTGAAGCATGCTAATACCCATTTCTTTTTTTTTAAATTTGCAGGATAGTCTCCTTTAGTAGGCTACTTCTAGGTTCATTTTGTATAGACAACTGTTCGTTTTTACCAATTCAACAGCATTGTAATCATATGAGTTAATACGATTGGTAAATTATCCAGGCTGAAATTTTCAGAATCGTAGACTTAGCACGAATGATCACTTCCATATTAGTATCCTGGATACATAGTTACTGTCTTTCTGTAATATTTTCTTTGTAAGTGAGAGAACTTTATAGAAAAAATATCTATAGATTTTGAAAACTGATTGATAAAATAATGGTTCATACGTACGCATATCATTTAGGGTAGATATATCTCACACGTCCTCTGGTACTTTGCTCAATCGTATGATAGTCTCAATAGTTCTTTTATAAACTACATTTAAAAAGCTGTTAGCGCAATCCCTTTGGGATTAAAACTGTGAAACACGGTATACCCACTGCTCGCAATCCCATAAAAAGGGTCTACGCTATGAAGTTTTTATTGATTTTGTGAGAAAGTTTCTTTGTCACTGCGTATGCTGATTTGTGCTAGCATCGAAGATGGTCTGTAACGGGCTGTGATACATCTGAACCCTATCTATTATTCTGTGGTAGCTTGTGATGACTATCTGCCGTAGTCCGTGATGGCCTCTCAAGACATTCTGTCACACTTTCTGATGGTCTTTAGAAGCCGTCTATGACGGTCTGTGATGGTTTTCAGAAGCTGTCTGTCATGGTCTGTGGAGGTTGCTTGAAACCGTCTGTCACGGTCTGTGATGGTTTTTGGAAACTGTCTGTCATGGTCTGTGATAGTCGCGTGCGCGTCTGTCATTGTCTGGAGGAGGGGCTGGGCCCTGGGTCCAAATTTCTACCTATATACACTTCAACACGCGTTTCAGATCGTGTTTCACAAAAATGAATGTGAACAGAAAGGAAAGAAAAAACATCGGCTTCTTTTCCTCTGGTCGCATTTTATGATTATTTTTCGTTCTATTTAAATAGAACTGCAATATTTACAAACATTCTCACTGAATATCTTATTCAATTTTACATTTGATGTCTGAAAAAATCCTTAAACAGCTCAATTTACTCCTGTGCGTTTAGTGGGAATTTCCAACATGCGCGATTTATCATTTTATCCTAGATATAAAATACTACGAGCAATTTTTTCCACAGTGCGAAACAAAGACACCATTGATACTACACGATACGACTTTGAACGAGAATTTCTTCCTTCAGCTATGTCGCTACCACCCAAACATGGCAATCATAGGTCCAGGCGACCGTCAAATTCACGTACTCGTCAACCAGCACCAACTAACGATCGACCATACGATCAACAGCATCCTCAGCATCGTAGTTATTCACGGAGAGGAGCACGCAATCCAAGCGTTGGATTCTGTCAAGGAAGACGAGATAACAGCAGCAACAGAAGATCGAATTCAAGAGGGAGGTATCCCAATGCACCGAAGGTTGTTGACAATTCATCATCACCACCCCTATCTACCGAAGAAATGACGCAGAAAATCTTAGATATTTGTAGTGTATCTAGGAAATTTTATTAGTGGCTTCATATCTATATAGAAGTCTTTCATTGCAGACGAATATACCTAATTTACGAGAGAGCCATGAGACTCTGATCACTGAAAAATATTTTGTTATTGGATCAAATCGATAAAAATGATGCATCAATAACGATGAAGGAAGCACTTACAAAAGAGCTAGTAGATCAGTTGCGGATTTTCAATGCTGTTATTGAACCATTGTGCGCAGTCGATCCATTTGAACTAGTGAATATTCGAAGCCATTTGAATAGATTGAGTCGAGAAATCAACCGATTCACAAATTGTTTACCAATCTATGCACAACGTCAAGATTTGATTAAGACAATCCGATCGAACCGTGTAATCATTTTAAAGGCAGACACTGGCTCCGGTAAAAGCACACAACTTGTTCAATATCTATCCGATGCTGAATTTGCTGCTCATGGTTTTTTTTGTTCAAACACTCTTTACTTTTTATTTCTATTCATCATATTAGAGCAAATTGTATGTACTTAACCTCGACGTTCAGCTGTGCGTGCATTGGCTGTACGTGTAGCTCAAGAATTTGGATATGAAGTAGGCGAAGATGTAATATCGAAAGTTTATTTTTAATTATTCGAAAACGACTGCTCTATTCAATGCATACTTAGGTCGGTTATCATAGTACTTTTGCTTCTTCTCTAATGTTCAACTTTTATTGAATCTTTGAGATAGTGGCACATTGTCACAGATATTGATTCAAATATAAAATATTTCTCGGGATATGGGAAAACGTTCCAGTCAATATTCAGCGTCGCTTTCCTTGAGGCATTGAAAATAAAACTACTCTCACATGACAACGATGGGCAATAGGGTGACTACAAGTAGTCATCGATCAAAATATGTGTAGAAGAGAACTCATATTAATATAAACAAGTAACGCGGCGTAAATGTCGCTGACCCTCTACTGAAAGAATGTGATATTGTGGAGCATACTGTTTCAAACCAACTAATAAGGAACCTAGTATTACTATACATAGGTAGAAGGATGCAACTTAGTGGAATAGTCTGTGAACGTATATGTATGTGTAGATAATCAAATTCCTAAAAACTTGAAGAAGTACCGTCTACTCATAAAGAAAATCTTCATATCTTGTCTGGGGAGGTATCTTTCACCGCCTCCGTTGCTGATATAATAAGGTTGAGAATTCTTCAAAAATATTATTTTGTTTCGAGAAACTTTGTACATCATCAAGTGAACATCAATCTGAACTCGAATGGAATCGAAGAAAAGATAACTAAATATGTTAGATATATATTGTTACAGCTCATCTATTTTTCAAAATATAAATCAACCTCATATGAAAATTTATTCATTAGTTTCATTAAGCAACATTATTGTTATCATATCCATTGCATTCTTTACTATTAATCATATGATGATAGAAAGGAAACAGTTTTTCCATGGCATGTGTCTAAGTAAAATCTTTATAGGGTATTTGTGTTTCACGTAGCTCTTAGTAGTTAACAGACACAATTCAACAAAAGGTAATCTTGTTATTTGATATAGCATGTTGTTGTAAATAATATCATTGCCTCTTTTATTTGATTTCAATAAAAAATGACTTTCAACGAATAAATCAATGTAATTGGTACTCATCAGAAAACAATGAACAGAAGCAGCTTTTATTGTATCTTTTTCAATAAAAAACTAAAAGTTATTCCAAATATACCTGTATACGATTCGTGCCAGTTACTAGAAGCACTGTCAAAAGATTGATTAGAATTATCAATATATCCTATTACTGACAGTAATCTTGTAACTTCGATTTTGAAAATAAATAACCTACATAATAATTATCAATCTAAAGTGCTTACAAAATAGATACAATGTGATAGTAAATATTTGATTAGAGATTTACATATTATATTCTTATAACATCTGGTTTTTACAAGGGGAAAACGGCAGACTTTTGTACTTCAAGTACTTTGCGCTACTTTGTGCTACTTTAGGCTACTTTAGGCTACTTTGCGCTACTTTAAGCTTACTTCAAGTAGAGTACTTTGAAGTACTTTTCAACNTTGCAATTACTTCAAACTACTTTGGACTACTTTGGACTACTTTGAGCTACTTTGAGTTACTTTAAGCTACTTTAAGCTTACTTCAAGTAAAGTACTTTGATGTACTTTTCTACTTCAAGTCTGCCGTTTCCCCCTTGGGTTTTTAACTAAATGGCTAATTTGACCCCATTTTCGATTAGAAAATGAATATATTATGAAAATTTAATCAATCGAAAGGCTTACAAAAATATTGTATTTAAAATAGTTGAAAGCGCGATATGCACCTTCTATCAAATGACAAATAAATCACTTAGAATCTTAGCCTTATTTTTAGAGTCACTTGCCCGTGAATTCATTGTCTTTTTTAGTTTTTCAAGAAATTAACTAGCACAAGTGTACAGTAGAACAATTTAACAATGAATAACATTTTATCTGTTTTCATTTTCAATGTGTTCTTTTGATTCACTTGCTATGCATTTCTGGAAAAAGACTTTTCTTTGGTCTCTTTCGTCAAATACATGAATTCATATGAAAGCCATTATGATGTTATGATTTTTGTGAATTTAACTGAAGTACACACTACTGTATAAATATTATGCATTACAAATTATACATGGCAAATAAAAACAAGCATAGCAATGGTTTAAACTATCGGATGTTGGTTTGTTCGATTTCAAACTCATGAGCTGATTAAAAAGATATCAGTTCCGAACACATAAATGTTAAATAAAAGCACACCAGTTTTTAAAGAAAGTTAAGTACATGTATTCGATACTATAATATAACTAAATATGTCATATTAGTGATAATCATGTTTATTTATTTCTTTTTAGAGCAGCTAATGCTTAAGACATAGTAATTATTAATATCAAAATTATTCAATAGTTTCGAAAATCATGAGAAAACAATCAAGTCGATCAATAGCGTAAAACCCATTCAAAATGTGATCTTGCTTCAGTCCATATGCTTCTCGTACCTTGGAGTTAACTGATTCGTAGGAAAGGCAAAACAGTATTGAACCTAAAAATAGCATAAAATATGTTTTAGCTGGTAGTATAAGAATCATTTCTGCCTCACAATCATCACTTGTGAATGCAACTTTATTCATGCCATCTCTTGTTATTCGAACTATAGTTAATAGATTCATAGCGCGCAGTAATCTGTTGTTTGTATGAGCAATCACCTTAAGCAAAATCTAAAGCTCCAGAGAAGAGTAAAATAAAAAGAATCATTTGAGCTGTTCATACATCAAGGAGGAAACAGCGGGTTCCCGGGATTCCGAATCCCATGGGAATCCTGTGCCTACGAGTCATCAATAGATGATTTTTTTCCATGTGTTCAGTTGATTTTTCTTTTCTTACAATCATTCGTTATACTTCGCGAAGAAAATGGTCATCATATGATTAACGAACTCCCAACGATCGACGGATAACGGGGAAAAAAAGTTGTCTACTAAATTTATATATGTTTCTAAGGAATGTGAATTAATTTTGTCTTTTCTTCTTACGATCCAATTAATTCATCTTTTCTATTTTTCTCATCTCTCTTTTTTTGTCTTCAGATAAGCATATCAATATAAATATACACGTGACTGTACAATCTCTCTCACATTCGTTATTTACTATTAAACTAAGATTATACAAAATTAAATTTCGTTTTTCTAAAAAAAGAAAACAAATTATTATAACATTTTTTTCTACGACGGTAATACATAATGTTTAAATCATTTCCGCCTCATGATTTATCTAATGATGTTTTGTCATTCAAAGGAGAAAAGTTTTTTGAGTTGATTCAACAGAAATGTGGTGAAGTCTTTAAAGAATTAATAGAAATACTTTCAATCAATACAGTATATAAACTGCTTTTGGTTGAAGATGATATTTTACCTGTTTTCCAGAAAAAATATCGAGAATTAGAGAAAGTAACACAACGAACATGTCTTCATTTTGATGATGGGGCAATTATGCTCAAGCCTGGTTTGCGTATGAATTTCGATCGTTTTATCCGATCTCTTCATGATATAAACGATAAACAAAAACAACAGAAGGAAATAATGAAACAAACTGAAGATATTATTTCTTTATTTAAGAATTTAGTAAAGTCATATCAATTCAATGAAAGTGATGATACACAAGATAATTATTCTTTTCGGTTCGCTTTATGGGTGTGGGTGTGGGTGAAGACAAGATCCACACCCACATGTTGACTTTATCTAAAAAAATACAATTAATTTGTGAAAATGAAAACAACGTTTCAAATCGTGCACTCGTCGAAAAATACAAAATCTCTATCTGAAGTGTATCAAAAATCATCAAGTGCGAGCCCGAATATATAGAAATGGTTTTTTAATAAGAAGTAAATAGGCTGTAAATTAGAAGAAATGATTTTAAAATTAACAGTAAATAAATTGTACAGTAGATAAAAGAGTGAATTAATCAATACATACTTACCTCAGTTATTATACATAACACATGTATTCATAAATCAAGAATCTGAAAAATGTGTTTTCTACATATATAAGGTCAGTCAATACAAAACCTCCCTATAATGAACACCTCCCTTAGTGAGCACATTTTGGACGGTCCGCATGGTGTTTACTCAAGAGAGGTTTTACTGTAATCATAAAATCAAGATTAAAGTCTGCACATCATAATTGTTCGTATAGATTGGTTTGCATATATGGTTTAGCGCTGGATACTAGCATATCATCTCCCTTAAAAATAATAGTTTTCGTTTCACGACCTTCTTCAGAAATGAAGATTATATCATACTGTCGCTCTGTCACGAGCCCAGAAAAGGAGCCTTGGCGACTAGAGATTTTCAGTTGATTGCAACTTTCGTACCATGACAGATTCACAAGTGCAAACACTTCTTGTTCGTAATTGTAATTATCGCCCTCATCTTCGTAGATTGTGAACCTAGCATCTGCACCCCGATAAACGCGAATTTCATATGGTGCATCAGTCACTTCATCGACATATTGCATTACTTGTGTCATAGGAATAATTGAACCTTCACGCACAAAGATTGGTAATGTATCTAATGAGGCACTTGCAACATGCGTCTGTCCACCTTCATATATGGTCTCGGTCCAAAAGTCATACCAACGGCTGCCAATAGGAAGATAGACACATCGCGTTTTAGGTTCATCACGAATAGATATGGAGTTGCGCTGGTAGTACATTGGTTTTGTCACTGGACAAATCAACAGTGCTGATCCAAACAAGTATTGATCAATGAGGTCGAAAGTGTTTGGGTCATCTGGAAAATCTAGAGCTATAGCTCGCAGCATTGTATAACTGTTGAGGGTTATTTGAGCGGCCAGTGAATAAATATATGGCATCAACTGATAACGGAGACGTATATATTTCACTATGGCATCATAGTAAGGCGTTCCTACTTCACCAAAGCGCCACACTTCACGGGATGCATCAGTACCATGTGAGCGAAATAGAGGCAGAAACGTGGCATATTGTAACCAGCGAACATAGAGTTCTCTAAAACCTAGATCTCTACAACCTGTATCCTGAGGATCAGGTTCAAGAAGACTCCCATCGGTGGTTCCACGGCATCCTTCCGAGTAGTCTCCACGCCAGAACCACATCTCTTTATCATAATTGATAAAGAAGCCACCAATATCCACAGTCCAGAATGCCTCGCCAGTAGCACAAAAATTGAAACCACTAGGGATGCAACGTCGCAACGTTTCCCATGTGGCACAAGTATCACCACTCCACACTGCTGTCGCGTAACGATGTTGGCCAGCATAGGCAGACCGAGTGAGAATGAAGACACGTTTATTCAACGTGGTACCACGTTGACCATCATATATAGCTTTAGCATGTTGGAGTGAATACACATTTATTAAATCTGGATCGAGATATTGTTTGAAATGTTGAATATTCATGATCAAACGATGGTGTGCTTCAGGTTCCACTGCACCAACCCAATCAGCCATAAAAGGCTCGGAGAAATCAGACCACCAAGCATCGACACCATGAACAAAAATGTAACGATTAAATGCAGAGAGCGTCCAAATTCCATCCGGGGGTGTAATGCTCTCGTTCGAGTGTAACCTATACATAAGATTTGGTCTTATGGTGCCATTTATTCTCATCACACCTATTGCCTCTATCTTTCTGTCCTTTACATTTGTCTTTATCTATCCTTCTTCTTCGTTCTCTCAAATGGTTGAGTATTTAAGCGTGTGCTTTATATGTAATCGATGCGATTTATGATTTGAAGAGTTAAATAAAGTGTAATACCATCAACACAGGCATCTCTTCTATCTAAAATCGTCACAGAAAAGGCCTGTGTTAGTCTGGCTCCAGTAGCAAGCACGGGCTTCGGACACAAAGGCATTGTAAGTGCTATTATCATCGAGCAGAAAATGACCTTTTTTCATTTCACAATGATTAGCACAGCCATCAGACATACTAGGCCAAACTGAAACCATTAGATGCACATTTCTTTTATGCAACGCATTCAGAAAGGAAGTTGGATCAGGAAAGCGAGTGGGATCCCGAGATTTCTGACCCCAACCATTACCACTAGACCATGAACGCCAGTCAAGAGCAATCAGGTCAAGTGGGATTCCTCGACGACGATATTCATCGACAACATCTACAATTTCTTTGGCGTTAATATAGCGTTCCTTCGATTGTATATAGCCGAATGCCCATTTTGGGAAGAGGGGGACGCGCCCAGTAAGTTCATGGTAACCACGAGTGACGCTATCAAATTTGCCACCATAAATGAAATAAAAATCAAGTTCATCCACTACATCAGCCCATAAATAGGAACCCAAAGCATCATCATGGAAAGTTATCAGTGAGCAACAGTCAAGCAACACACCGTATCCTAGAGTAGAGACAAAATAAGGAATGGCAATCTTTCTGCTGTGCTGGTAGAGTTGGCACCGTTTGCCACGCATATTACCGTAGCCTTCCTCATGTGAACCAAAACCAAAAATGGCTTCATTTTCGTCAAATACTAACTCTAGTTTGGCTTCGAAGACATCACGGCTCATTATTGAGCAACGCTTAGCATCAATATTATTATTGGAAGCACTCCGAGCGCTGTTCTTGACGACACTATTGTAAACTGTTTTTCCTGTTAACCATTTGCCACCACGTTCAGGTTCTTGTAGTAGCCGCTTACCATTTTGATCAAAGTAAGAAATTGCGCCGTATTCCTTACTTACAACAAGCTTCAGAGCGGTTGTTTCGATAATGAAATTCAAGGCAGTCTCTGAGAAATTGTAATCAGTAAAAAAATGCTGATTAGTAACAATCAAACTATGGCTGGATTTAAACGGCTTGTCTTTAGTGAAGGTTATTTGAGCAATGGATTCAGTAACGAAAGCAATGCATAACTTGAAGGTCGCATTGCCCAAAATGACGTAGTTTTCATTGCTAACAAGGATATACATGATGTTGAAGGAGAAAGTTTTCAGCAGCAGCAGCAGCAGCTAATTATTCTGAAATTGGTCAAACTGCACAGAAATTATTTATTCCATAATGAACATAAAGTCTCTTTTTTGATAAATGAAAACATCCTAGCAGATTTCAACGTCAATTTATATCACGACGTTGATTATTTCGGGCATATTTTTGGAAAATTCAGCATATTTTATATAAAGACCTCTAAATTTCGTGAAACCACACAGCTTAAAGCGATTATAATTCCGAAGTCAAAATAGTAGTGACTTTATCTTTCTTTTGTATTTTCATGGGACATATGAGAAATATGGTTCTTGAAAAAATTGTTTTGCTAATCTGACGAACGTTTAGCCGTTGTCTGATTTTCTTACTGCTTTCTAGGTTCAGTGAACGAAAAATCCAATAATTTCCCTTAATTCAAAGATCACATTATAAAGGCATATGCGTAGTTTCAAGCAAAATCATCTGTTGTAAAACGTACAATACGCAGTAGTTTTATAAATTAAAGATCTGAAAAATTTAACATATGATGCAGATATCAAGGATCACTCTTCTGACCAATTCTTTGAATGTCCTATCAAATTCTTTGAGATTTTCAAAAAGGCTCCTATCAAACTAAGTTTATTGCTCTACAAAGTACAAAAATCAATTTCCGCTAAAATGTAAATCTCGAGAAATCAGTGATCTACGACAATTACCTGTATATGCCGTTACTACGGGTGAAATTCATAGCTAACGGGTGTACCAAAAAAAATGGGCCCATCAGTATTTTGCTGCCATTTTTATCAAAACTAATCCGTTTAGGGTCAATGTTTTTTAAAAGATTTCTCTTTTTATCCTCTACAAGATGACATATTTTCTAATTTTTTAAAACATGCTGTAAACGAACAGTCCAAAATGAACAGCTTTGTAAGACAACATCTTGTCAAATTTTTTTACAGTATGTTTTACTTTATCAATTAGTGTAGATTTTGATGTTAATTTTCCCCAGTTGACATGCTGCACAAATTCATCCCAGATACAATAGTTCAATAGATTTTAATCCGGGCTGTTCGGTGGCCAATGATTTTTATCTATGAACGATGGAAAGTGATCCAGGCGCCATTTTTGTGTTAGATGATGGACATGAGGTATCGCACCAGAGATGCCAACAAGCCACTTTTTCCGGCCTGACCTGTCCTGTCCTGTAGGCATACATGAAACCAAAAACGTTATGTGTATTTTTATAACATATTCATTAGGTTCAATTTTTAATCATGAAGTTGAGGATTAATGTGATTATTCATTTCTTCTCTTAATAGTAATAATATAAAAAGCTGTTAGCGCAATCCCTGTGGGATTAAAATGTGAAACACGATGAAACTTCTTTTCTGGAATTCGTCTATCACGGTCACTGATGGCCTGTGGAGCTTCTGTGTCACGGTCTGTATTATGATGCATGAAATCTCTAGAAACCATCACAGACCGTTACAGAGAAATTTAATAATTATTAATTAATTAACCAATTAACTGATTAATTAATTTCTCCGTAACGGTCTGTGTGGGGGAGGTCCAAATTTCTACCCTATATACTTCAACACTCCTTTCAGATCGTGTTTCTCAAAACTCTCTGAATTAACACCACTAGCATTTCACATAAGTAACAACCACTATTAAACAATTTATAAATACGAACTGTTATAAAGTAATAAATGGTTAAAATTCATTGACTACTTTGTCTTTATTTCTTTGATCTAGCTTTTTTATTGCACCTTTAGTGATAATCGTGTGAATAAATTCAATCCAATTATTATTCGCTTTCTTTTTTTCGGAATTTGCAAATGGACCATGACGATACCTACATGGGGAATACAGAATTCAGCAGATAAAATCATTCGAAGTCAATTTTGAGAGCAGGCTAGGCAGGCTAGCCTGGCTTAGCCAGGTGCAGGCCAGGCTAAAATGTGAAAAATCAGCCTGGCCCTGTAGTCTGGTCTGTAGGCCAGCAGACCAGGCTGGCATCTCTGTCACACAAAGCTAAAAAAATCAAAATTTAATTTAAAAAAATATATTTCAGGGTGTGGGTGTGGGTCTTCTTCTCAATAAACTGATACACTCACACCTACACCCTCAAGAATTCGTCAATGTGAAATTGAGCTAAAAGATTAAAAACAATAATTTTAATAAAAACAATCATATTTGCCTACAATTTTTAATTTTCTTTTCTATCCAACTAAAAGAATGAGAAAATAATAAGTATCTATAAAAAATAATGCTTGCATTTGATCGGGTCGATTGGGAAAAGCTAAATCAAAAGCGGCTGATTCAAAAAAAGTAATAATTGCATACAATTTTTTAACTCACTGATGAAATTCTTCAAGATTTATGAATAAATATTTACGTTTTTTTAATAGAAGGCTCACCTACATACAACAACGTTTCATTTTGTTTTTCAGGTTGATCTAATTAATGGAGAATGATAATCTTTTAATGTGAGATTACAAGCTATTGTAACATAGAGAGAGCTAAATTTATCCTGTTTTTCGTTAATCTTTGTTTCTATTGTACGATTTCCTATCTAATCACAAAAATACTTGATGAATAAGTGTCATCAACCAGAAAAATCAACATCATTTTGATATATATGTATAACGTGTCCGATTTTAATTTTTTTAGTTCAAAAAATTATTTCATGAAAGGGTACAATAATAAACCCTTCGCCGTAGAATAAGAAACCCCTCATCGTAGATTCACAAACCCTTCTCCTTAAATTCTGGCCCAATAAACCCTTTTTATTTTCAAATACCCTTAGTTTCATAAACGCTTCAGGTAATAAACGGTTTTAGAGTTTCGGACAAAACATAAACCCTTTAAGGGTTTATGAAACTTCTTTTAGTACTAGGATTTAGTATTATACGACTTGTTTTTACAGTGTAGGTAGGTAGGGGAGGTAGGTAGGTATAAGAATACGTATATATAAATGTATTACTACTTTTAACAATGAAAGTGGTTGTTTTCCCAAACCTTTATTAAAACAATTTTTCCTAACAATTTTCTAAAAGAAAGATTAGGAATTGAAGTGTGTGCCTTCATTCACACACCAAATGACTAAAGCACTACCGTCTAGTTTTCGTGTGGAAACATACCTTTCCAATTCCAAAAAACCAGTTCATCTTTTCTACTGTGAAACTAAAGATAGGTTTTCTTAATCCATTCTAATTAAAACTTTGATATTCATAATACCACCAGCATCAAAACTATAGCAGATAGGATCTAAATTCCTCCGCGGCGCCTACGCGCAGGCCTGTGTCGCTGTGCCTCCCCGCGCGTGACTCTGTTCCCTGCACCCACATGCGTCACTGCGCGCCGCATATGGAAGTAGAGAGCAGAGTCACGCACGGAGGTCGGCTGGACCTTCGCATCTCGTTTTCTGGGCATGTGAAAGTCCGTTTTAAGATTCATACCGCAAATTAGAACTTCTAAGATGAAAACTGAAAGGCTTCTTTTAAATGAATCAGGTTTCAAAATTTCACATTTATGCTGTAGCTTCCCATATTCCTTACATCTCACTATACCTCTCTATGTCTCCTATACCTCCTGTACCTACCAGCCTCGTCTACCTATCTACGTCCCCTGCCTACCTATACCCTTCACCTCTTCTCTCCATTTTTGTCCTGTCTCTCTGCCCTCTCTCTCTCTCTTCCTCTTCATCGCTATATACCTCTATACCTTTGTATTCCTTCAGCGTTCAACAGCATTGTGCTTTTCTGAGTTTCCGCGGACGCTCTCATAACACATAATATGTAGCTTGGAGCAGTTAAGTACAAGGCAGATGGAAGATAGCATACTTTTGAAATATGTATTTGTTGATATTTATTGTAAAACTAGTGTTTATTTGAGCTTAATAGATTGCTGCATCTTTCGATCCACTAAATCATTTGCTGATATAAATTAGACTGTACGTAAAATGGCATTCAACAATTAAAAAAAGCCATCTAATGAATCTACACCATAATAAAAGCCCTTGTGCTGGAATGTACTTAAGACAAGTGACAAAGTATTACATCTTTTGGTCAATTCCTAGCTGATTGTTTATACTTGTACGTGATAGAGCCACCGAAATCAATCAACACCATATTCGACCATCCTGTATTTTCAATTGCTTTTTGACATTTAACGAGATTGTGTAATCCAATAGTCGTAGTTCCTTCAGCGTCTATGCGAGAAAATTAAAGCAAAGATGTGAATGGTTTGAAAAGAACATGAAATTTACCTTATTGTGCTTTATAGCATCAGACAAGCTTCGAGCTCCCTTATCTCCAATTTGATTGTTCTCGAGATTCAACACAGTTAGCGTCTGCATGGAAAATGAAAGTAAAAATATACAAACAATGAAGGAGATGAGACTCACGTTATTCGAATATAGAGCGTCAGCCAAATAATGCGCTCCTCTTTCTCCAATTTTGTTAGAGCTGAGGTTTAGTTTGAGTAGTGTCTACATCAAAACATGCAAATGAGTGCATCTGAGAAATGAAAATATAGTATCGGTATAGGGTGACTATGTAATACAATGAATCAGCACCTTTTTCACAGAATTCACATGTGGTGTTCCTAAGTGGAAATGTAGAATATCCTTATCCTTTCATTTAGGTCAGTGAAAATAGGTAAATATGAATCTTTTGTAAAGCATGAACTGAAAGGAGTATCGAAGTGTATAAAGGCAAAAATTAGCTATCCTCTCCCCCTACCACAGACTGCAGCAGACGCGGAGCCAAGAAGCATAATAGAATATGACTGGTTGAGGATCGTCATCATCACAGGCTGTGACACACCGATTCTAGAATCATCGCAGGCTATCATGGATGGGATTCAGGAAGCACTACATCGAATGACAAAAGTACATGAGAAACATCACATATCATAGAGGAAGTTAAACGAAAGACTAATGGGCGTGATTAAAATCTAAAAAAAAGATATCAGCGGCTTTTAGATTGAATTTTTTGACTACAAAAAAATTCCACATTAAAATATTGCGAAGGTATATAAAATAAAAGAATATTTGTGTTTCATAGTTAGAACAGTTGGCTCGCGTTTAACATTTTGATCCCGCAGGGACTCGCGCTAACAGCTTTCCTTTAGTAACATTCGAGCGATGAAAATGAT